TAAAACGTATTGTTAAAAAAACAAAAGTTTGAGCATCCTTCTCCACAGATGTGAGGAATGCTGATGTGTTTTCCCCCCAGCGCTGTAGTATTTGATCAAACACTGCTCAGGGAAAGGGAAAAGCCTTACTGTCTTCTTCCTCTTCTTCTTTTCAGCCTTTACGATGCCTACAGTTTCCAAGTGATCCCGGTTTTGGGAGAGGTGATTGCTGGGGACTGGAAGTCTTATCAGTATTTGGTGGAGAGCATCCGGAAGTTTCCCAACCAGGTAAAACTCACCTCAACCCTCCTGATGTCCACGTCCTCGTATTAATTACAAATCTCTGTACCTTAGGTTGGTGTTTGATACCAGTCAAAGCTTTTTTTAAAGGGTGTTTTTATCAATCTTGTACGGTTGCTGATCAGTTCCACCCCTCCACCCTGCAGGGTTTTGGTTGAAATTATTTGCCAAATGATGTTTAAAATTACCAGCAAGCCAAGTATCAGATTATTTTGCATCTTAGTCGGTCTCACCACTCTTAAACACTCATTTCAGACTTTCCTTAGTTTTAATTAGCTGACGTCAGCACATTTACGTGCTAGGAAGAAAAAATAGAAAAAATATTATATTAAATTAATATATTATAATATATAATATTATATGTTATATTATAATATAATATAATATTAAATTATTATAATACAATTAAAAAATTATTTGAAAAAAATAAATAAACACCTGTAGTCAGACCATTAATAATGCACACGTAAACATTTCAGTCTGACTGAAACTGGATAGGACCGAACATCTCAAATCCCATCTAATAAACCAAGATCATTTGGTTAGGCATGACGTCCCTCCAGCATGTTTATGGTCAGATAGACTCTGTGGGCAGTCGTTCTTTTTTTAATAACTGTATACTGTAAGGGACTGATGCAGTTGAATCCCCCTTTTAAAATGCTCTTCGTACATCTGTTTGTTTTGTCAGACAAATTAACGTGTTGGAAATTGGGAGTGAAATCCAGCAGTCAGTGAAAGGCCACCACTGCCGCTCTGCTCTAATAAAATCTACGTTCTCTAACCCTGTAATGCCAAATGTATCATACTTGATAATTTAATGGTAAAAACTTTGCTCAAAATCCTAATTTACACAATCAGATAAACCTGATAACAGGGCGCAGAAGACTACACAAAAAATAATCTTGACTTATCGCATAGTAATAAATTAATATTAAAAATCTATTTCTGTTTTTTCTTTTTACATGTTTTGTTAAAAGGCCAAATAAGGAATTCAAACCAAAGAAAAAGTCATTTTCAGTTTTGTTTTGTTCTTGGATCAGGCTTTAAAGGTTTAACAAAGCTTCTTCCAAGAAACATGGCGCTCTTCCATTGGTGCCAGCACGACTCTACACAGTTTAAGTCGTTGTCCGTTACAAATAATGGCCGACAATGGAGGAATAATGGTGTCTCTGTTAGGCGTTTAATGTTGGTGATCACAGAAATTGAATCGAATGTTTGTTGGAGTAGGTGCTGAAGCTCTAGCTGTTCAGAAACAAAGCCCCTAGTGGAAATGGAAAAAAAAAATGCTGACTAGGCACTAGTGGAAAACCGCCATTAACCCTATAATGCCAAATGTATCATGTTTATAGATCCGGTTTCTGAAGTCTTTTGGATCTGAGACTTTTTGCATCATTCAGTGGTAAAAGCTTTGCTCAAACCCCTGTTGTACACATTCAGATATACCTGATAACAGCCAGTAGAGGACTACACCAAAATACATTTTTGACTTATTGCACGCTAGTTTGATCAAAATAATTACTGTTTTTTTTTCTTCATACGTTGTTAAGGGGCCAAAGAAAGACTTCAGACTAAAAAAAATCCAATATTATTCCTATTTTTCTTGGATCAGGCTTTAAAGGGTTAAAGGCAACATCTGTGCAGTGAATGCAGCGTCTACAACTTTTCCTCCCAGTCCAGAGGGTGGGACGTGTTTCCGTAACTCCATTTTGCTTTGTGAAACACCATATAATAACTGATTTCTCCCCTCTGTTTTTAGGAGGAGTTCAAAGGCATGATAGAAGACGCGGGTTTCTGCTGTGTGCAGTACTACAACCTCACAGCCGGAGTCGTGGCTCTTCACTCTGGTTTCAAACTCTGAGATTCAGAACCCATCTGAAAGGAAACAAAACGGGTGGACGTCCCGTTTCAGGCTGAGAAAAACTACAGAAATTAGAGACTTTGATGACCTTGGAACTGCTCTCTGCAAAAGACAGGAAGCTATTTATTTATTTCTCTGTTGAGAATAAGAAATAACACCCCAACTCCACACTTAAACTGTGCCCATTGTTAAAATGTGCTATTTTTTTGTATCATAAGTAATAAAAACCTGTGAATACTTCCGTGTAGAGAGTCATTAATGAACAACAGAACACCGCGTTGAATTACTTGAATAAAACTGTATATTTTACAGATCTTTGTACACTTTAATTACAAAACTGTATGGTACTAAAGTTTTAAAATCAGGTTTTTCTTTTTTTGGTCAGAGAAGATTTAATCGTCTTGTGTGCAATTACCATGTATATACAAAGTCTCATGTTAGTGATTTTTTTTCTTTTTTTCTTTCCTTTTTTCCTCAAAAAGCAACCAAATAACTCAAAACGTTCATACACTCTGAACATAAGACATGGCTTAAAGATAAATATATTAGTAAATAAATATTCAGAGAACATAGTTCCATTTATGAAATGTGTTTGCTATACAGGTACAGAATATACACAGATTGATTTCTTGCCTTTTTCTCTTTTTCTTCTTAAACATTTGTAATGGTAATGACAGAAAATAATTATGTCCTTAAAAATATTAATTTTTGTACATTTTTTTCATCTTAAGTGCTAAAAACAATTACAAAAAAATGTTTTTTTTTAAATAGTGACTCAAGTACCCCAAAATGTTATATTTGCAGTAGGTACATATCTCTATGCAAAAGGCAAGATTAGATTCTCACTTGATTACAGCACTGGGTTAACTTATAAATAGGGTTATTTCAGGTTTTTTCCCTCTGTGTAGAGAATGTGTATATTTCATAGAAACAGTATTAAAAAAACAGTCTGCAGGACAAACAGAAAGGCATGAATGACAAGCATTGATATTGCATGTACGTATTATGTACGGCACGTTATGATTCGAACTGATACGCTGTGGTATGTATAACTGCATCATTTAAAAAAAAAAAAAAAAAAAGTCACAGTACAAATAAGGAACCCTTATGAAATATGATACTTTTCCAGCTACTTTCCTTTGGCCTTTTGATACATACTAGAACCTTTTTCTAGACATTTATAAGAGCACGCCTCACAGAGGAAACTGGGCTTGTGAACAGCAACGATACACTTTCGAAGGGCATCCGAAACGCTTTCTTTAGGTCTGAAATGCGACCAAAACCCGTGCAGCGTCATTCAGTATTGCTGCCGATATCTTACCAGCTAAAGGCTCTCAACGTTAAACACTCCTCACATAGGCAGGCCGCGATGGACAGAAATGCAATGCATAAAGACAAATTCCGTTTAGTGATTAGAGACCAGTGTGAGCCTTGCATTCACATTTCTATGCATTTTCTTTTTTTTTGTTATGCCATAGCTTTTTTTTTTTTTTTTTTTTTTTAATTATCTCCTTGGAGAATCAAGGGGTCACAGACACTTAAAAAAAGGACCCATTTCCCTGCTCTTAAGAGTAAAAAAAACAAAACAAAAAACAGCTAAAGACGATGTCTTTTTGAGTTTGGTATAGCTACGTCCTTAAAAACCTACTTCGGTTGGTGGTTGGAGCTTCGTGGGAAATCAGTGTTTGCGAATGGAGAGTTTGTCGAGAATATCTGGGATTCCTACTGCTTCCGCGAAACAAAACCCAAAAACCTTTGAAAAAATCTGAATGGATTGGCCCAGATTACGAACCCTTAACGGTAGCAGATAGTCTTCGAATAGATGCGTAAACCCCCCGCAAATTCTAGTTTCAGTTACGCCCTCCATCCTCGTTTTTGTCTTATCTGAGCTTTGAGACGTTAGTGGCCACAGGAATGAACATCATACATTGTTGCTTTACCTAGAAATAAGAGGCCTTTTCAGTAGAAATCCACACAATCTAAGATGATAACATTCAGTGCTCCGAGAGCAAGGTTAGAACAAGGCAACTGAGGGTTTTTAAAAACGACCGACCGACAGACGTGGTACCACTTGTTTCGTCCGTTCTCTCCCGGACTCGTGTCCATTTGCCCAGAACCTCCCCCTAATTTCCCGTAGTACTGCTTCCCAGTGCAGTTGGGCTCGCGGGTATCCGAGGCCGGAACAAGGCCCTGGTCTCCTCCTCCTGGAGGTACCCCTGACCTCTGAACTGTCCCGAGGGGAAGTACCTCTCCTGGGGCTCGACTTGCTCAGCTGTCCGCAACTCCGCCGCCATGGCGACGGGCGACCGGTCCGGGCCCGATCCCGGTTCGCAATCCGTGTCCTCGGGGATTATGGGTATCCTCTGGTTGAGTTCGCAGCAGGCCTCCGGGTCCCCCGCGTGCGCGTACTGCACGTTCACGGCGTAGTCCTCGGGGTATCGCCCCGCCGAGGCCCGGTGGACCTTCGAGATCTCTTTGTAGAAGCAGCAGGGCAGCCCTTCATAGCTCACCTGCTCGGAGGAGGGCCGCATTTGCTCGGGGGGGAAGTAGTTCTTGGACCCGGGGGTCTGAAAGTCCACCATCCTGCGACAGCGTCCCGAGGCCATCGGCCCGGGTTGGTCCGAGTCCTGCCCTTTGCACTCCACGCTGGGGGGGATTACCTCGAAACAGCAGCTGCAGGCCGCCGAGGCCCCGAGCTCCCCGCACTCCTCCGGTCCCAACTGTCCCCTGTCGGATACGCCGCCATCTAGAGGCCCGGCTGAGGTAGTGCTGGCGTGGCTGGTGTTGTTCTCCCTGGGTTCCAGTGACGAACGACTGCTGTAGTTGGGCTCCAAACTGCAGTTGGAGAGGTGGTCCCCCGAGTTATATCCCGAAGCTCCTGGAGGGAGCTGGAGGCAGTCATGTCCAATGGCGGTGGCGTTGGCTGTAGCGTTAGCGTTGGCGGCGGTTGGGGGCGTGTCCTCCGAGGGGGCGGAGCCACAGGCCTCCGCGGCGGACCCCCGGCAGGGGCTCTTACTCCGGTACACGTAGGGGTCGTAGTCGCTGCTGAGCGAGCTGCGGAAGGTGGAGCAGCTCCCGTACACGCCCTGGTTGCTGACCTCGGTGCAGTCCAGCATGGAGTCGCTGGAGGAGCAGTGGCACTGGCCCGAACTGCTGCTGCTGCTGCTATCGCTGCCGGGGCAGTCCGCCAGGTACCCGCTGCACACCGAGCGGTGGTGGTAGCAGCTCAGGCCCGAGGCGCTACCGCTACCACCTCCGCCACCATCGCCAACCCGGGACGAGGAGGAGGAAGAGGCCGGCGCCATGTGCACCACCGTGGGGTAGAGCAGCCCCTGCTGGAAGGCCCTTCCGTGGTGGTGGACTCCCTTATGGACTCCACCCCCGGTCCCCGTTAAAGCCGGGGGGCCCTGGCCCCCGTCGGGCTGCTGCTGCTGGGGGAAAGTCAGTCCCTGAAAGTAGTAGTGCTGGTACATGGTCTCGTACTGCGAGAAGCAGGCCGCCCGCGAGAAGTTGCGGCCGTGGAACTTGGGCCGTTTGAAGGCGGCGTGGTGCGGAGGCCCGCAGTGGTGGGGGGGGGGCAGCGAGTGCTCCAGGTGGTGGTGGTAGCTCCTGAGGAAGGCCGGCGCGGACTGGGGAGGGTAGAGACCCTGGGGGTCCGGGTGCTG